CGTCCCGGGGGAGGGAAGGAGGAAGGAGAGGGGAGGAAGGAAAGAAGAAGGGCAACGGGGTGATGTCTGGGGCCGTAAAGGGTGTCAGGGGGGGGTTCTGAAGAGATGCGCCGGCGTGACGGAGGCCATGACCGCCTGCTTCCTGACTTACTCATCTTCGGCTTACCGCGCTCTTTGCCCGGTCCCTTTCTTCCCTCTCTTTTTTGCCTCTTCTGATATAATTCCCTCTGATCTCCACCCATCCTTGGCCCTTGCCCCCTAGCTTTCGGCTTCCACCATTCCCCCTTCGAAGTCTTCTATACGAAGAATGAGACCTACTACCACATTTGCGACGCCACGGGCGAGGACAAGCACTGCTCGGACCACTACCTGATCGATCCCAGCATCAAAGATCACCTCAATTATCTCGGTACGATCTCCCCATCCCCTTCCCTCCCTTTTCTGTTCGGTCCTTCCCTCCTTGTCATGTCCGTCTGTCTCGAGGCTTGGGTGGCGGTGGGCCCCCCGCCCACGGCCGACCGAGAATTGCCTCTCTCTCTCGTCCCCTCGTTTGCCCAATTGCTTCTTACCTGAGCTTTTCCCCCATGGGGGCTTCCTCTTGCTTCCGTAGGAGTTCTTTTTGGGGGGGAAGAGGTGGAGGGGCGCTTGCAGGAGTTGATGCATTCGACGGGGTGGGAGATGGAGGCCTCCGTGCTTGTGAGCGCGTCTTAAACAGAGAGAAGGCGGTAGACCGTGACAAAAAGGAGGATAGGGAGCGAGAAAGGGGATGAGAGGAAAGGAAGAAAGCCGCGTAAGATGGTGAGGGACTCGAGGTGGAGTGCGCGGAGGGAAAAGAGCTTTGATGGACGCCATCGTCTTAAAGCACGTAGAGGCAAACAGAGGTGCAAGTACTGTTGTGAATTTTTAAAAGGGGAATGTATACAAGCAAAGTAGGGTTTGATGTGGATATGGGAAGAGAACAAATAATCCCTTCGGGCAGGAGAGGCGATGGCCAAGAGACATAGGCTCCCCACACTGTACAGATCAAGGAGGGGCAGATACACCTTACATTAAAGGAGATCGTGAGAAAGCAAAGCAAGTGGTAGCGAAGAGAAGGATTTTGCGCCCTGCCGAATATACACCGTTACTTGTGTCCGAATCTTCCTTTTCCCACCCTCACCTCCCTCTTGTTCTCTTCCTCCGCCACATCTTGAGGGCCTCAGCCTAACAAACGACTCTCTTCCCCATCGACCACCCGGGCTTCTGCCTCCACAATCCTTCCCGCCCCCTCCCTCGTTACTGTCTTCTCGCTTCCTTGGTGTAAGCGCGCTAGACTCCTCGCCTGCCTCACCCTCCCGCCGTCCCCACCATACCAACGAAACAGCTTCCATCCCTCCATCCACCCGGTCCCGATCAAGGAGAGGAGGAACAGACGGCCCCACTCCCTTGGGGGTAGAGGTACGACTCCCAAGGTCTTGGCGAGGGAGGGGAGGAGGAGGAGGAGGAGGAGGAGACCGAGCACCGCCCCTGCCCAGACCAGGAAGGCAGGATTGGAGGCCAAGCCTTTAAGGAGGAGGGGCTGATGGAGGGAGCGGAGTTGCCAGGCAAGGAATACATGCCCGAGGAGCCAGCCGTTGA